TGACCAACATGGAGAAACCCTGTCTCTACTAAAGATACAAAAATTAGCCAAGCGTGGTGGCACATGCGTGTAATTCCAGCTACTCGGGAGGCCGAGGCAGGAGAATCGCTTGAACCCAGGGGGCAAAGATTGCAATGAGCCGAGATTGTGCCATTGCACTCCAGCCTGGGCAACAAGAACAAAACTCCATCTCAAAAAAAAAAAAAGAGTCACTGTAGTTTTGGTGGATATGGTCAATTTGCTTACCAGTGTATGTTCCCACTAGAAAAAATATGTCAAAATGTCTGTCTTCTCCCACATTCTCACTCATCAGAATTTTTATCTCTGCCAATCTGATAAAGAGAAAAGGTATTTCATTATAGTTTTAGTTTTAGTTTTTTAGTTTTAGTTTTCACTCTTATGAGTGAAGTTGTGTGTCTTTTCATATGTTTGAGATATTCGATACACAGTAGGTGACTATTGCAAGTAACAATGTAATACATATTTCAAAATAGCTAGAAGAGAAGATTTTGAATGTTGTCATCCCCAAAAAAATAAATATTTAAAATAATGGATATGGTAATTACCCCATTTGATCATTATACTATGTATATACATGTATTGAAACATCACATTGTACACCATAAATATATACAATATGTGTCAATTAGAAATATAAAATTAAATTTTTAAAGACAGGTTCCTGAATTTTTCTTTCTGTGAATTTTTTGCTCAAACTCTTCACTCAGTTCTCTTAATGAGTCATTGATCTTTTTCTTATTGATTTGTAGAAGTCCTTCATAAGTAGGGACATTAGCTTTCTGTCTTGAATATGATTTGTGTTTTGATGCTAGTTTGTCATTAGTATTTTGACTTGTCAATTTTTGATGAGAAATTTAAGACGTTCATGAAGTTAATTTTATTGAGCCTTTTTTGAAATAATGTATGTATCTTTCAGATTTTGTGTTATAGTTAGAAAGATCTTTCTCACTCAAAGGTTATAAAAAGGTTATTTTGTATTTCCTCTGACTACTATTAAAGCCAAGCTTTTAAAATGTTCTTTTTTCTTTTAAAAATTTAACAGATTCCCTTTTCTAGTTGTTTGACCTCTGTGTGGTTCTCCTAATTCTACAGATGTATCTAAGAGAAGCTCAGCAGTGCTATTTAGAAGTTTCCTGAGTACCTTGATATGTAACTTATCTAATCTCTGAGTTTGTATTTTGGTTAACTAGGTGATTTCTGGTATGTTCTTTACTCACTAGAGAATTCCATTCTGATTTACTTATACTTACTCATCTTTTTTTATTTTTTTCAGAGCAACAGAGCTCATCCTTTTTGATATAATGTATGCAGAAACAAAATAGAAATTGAGTTCTCCATTCTCTCTGTCTCATTTCTACTGTCCGCTCAAAAATTCTTCTTTGTTTTTGAGTATTTGTGGACCTATGTTGATCTTGAGTTTTAGGTCTCTAGAATAAAAGAAGAGGGTGGCGCTTGATCACAGCCAAACTTATTTCCCATTTACTTAGCTTTTTCAAGAAATAATAAGTAACTACTACATACATAGCTCTTTTCTCAAAATATAGAAACAAAATTTATGATATTGCCCTTGTGTTTTGGAAAGACCAGTTTTCTATACATAATAATAATAATATTATTATTATTTCAAAATGGTATTTGTCACTTTAGATATAGCCCACAACTTTTGTTTGCAAGCGTGGTTGGATTGTCCTTGAGTGAAATACCCAGAAGTTCTGAAAGAACATTTTCTTCTCTGAAGTTCATTTCTCAAAGGTACAGTGGTGAATAAAATCCTCAGAACAGGATATTTAAGAAGGCTAGGCCATATTTGTATCAGCTGCAAATATTCAATGCCAGTCATAGAATGTTCTTCCAACCACTTGTGACAAGTGAAATATATTTTTATTGAGTTAAGCTAGTGTTGCAATAGTGGTCTTTAATATTAAAAAAAAAAAAAAAAGGAAACAAGATTTATTTATTTAAATAGCATATGGCTCACTTGCTCCTCTGATTTTTTTGCGTGTTTTTTTTTTTGCCTTTTTTAGTTTAATTAGTTAAATTAAAGTTGGTACTTGCCTCTTGACGGCTAATAAAAAAAAAATCTGACCTTAAAGTGAATTAGAGGTTCCAAGTTTCTGACAACATCTCAGAGCTTAAAAAGCTATATATTAATAAATGTGGGCCTGCATTTGCTTTCTTAGAAAAAGTAAAATTGATCCCAGTTGACCCCAAGTATGTTGGTTTTCCATGTTAATATATTTAGACCTGCAGTTTCAAAAAAAGCTTTTTTCTGTCTTCAAGTTTTGTATTTTCTAGTGAGATTCTCTTCTTCCATAGAACCAAACTGTGAGGCTGATATGAAGAAATCTTCAGATATTTTGGGGTTCTTTTCTAACATGATTCTGCCCTCTCACATGACTCTCCCGCCCGACCCCCAACCTCTTGCCATCAGTCTTTCCACATTCCTACTTCTCTTAACCCAATTTGGGAGCATCGGGTTAATACACATACTAAGGAATGGAGTTTTCAAGTCATTGATCATTTCTGTTCCTTAACTTGTCCCAAAGTCCTGAATTAAACCAACGACTGCTGATGTCTAAAGTACTGTTGCTAATCATATAACATTTTCCTGAAGAAATAAATGGTCTTTATAGCTCTTACTTAGAGCAAAGGAGTGAAAGTCTAAGGGACGAGTAGTATTCTGAACCATAGAAGTATAAAATAACTATGAGGATAGATACGGTGTAATGGAATTAACACATCTAGACTGGAAGAGCCATGCTAATAAGCAACTACTAAATTAAACTGACTGAGATATGTGTCATACATTTAAGTGAATGAGAATAATGCATCATTTATTGGATTGAATAATTAACTGCAATTTAATGTTAGAGTGGCTCTCTATATAAAGATGAAGTCAAGTAAGCTTTAGTAGATAGGAGTTCAAGTCTTGGTATTAGACTACCCGACTCTGCCATTCACCAGTAATGTGAACTCATGCAAATCACTTCACCTTTTTTGGCATCAGTTTCTTCGTCCATAGTGTGTGTATAATATACCTACCTTTGCTGAATACACACACGCACACACACACTACTTAGAATATAGTATCCAACACAGAAAGAAAGTCCTTCAGTAGATGTTAAGTTTCTTTCCTTCCTTTTTTTTTTCCTTCGAAGCTTTCTTTTTATACTATGTTAAAATAATTCGAGTATTACAAGGTTAAAGATGCTAAATCAGGTAGTGGCTGTTTATTCCAGCAAATATTTCTATCTAAATAGTTGGCAATTCTAGCTTATTTCATAAGAGTTAACTAATTCTGTAGATTATTTTCTGTTTTTTTCCAATGGTGATAATCTTTTTATGATAAATATTGAGTGTCCTCATCTTCTCATCCTTATCTGGCTTGTATTATATGTTCAGAACATTACAAATTTACCCATTTTCATTTTTTGTGGCATTTTCTTGTCTAATTTTTTTTTTTTTTTTTTTTTTTTTGAGACAGAGTCTCTGTTGCCCAGGCTGTTGTGCAGTGGCATGATCTCGGCTCACTGCAACCTCTGCCTCCTGGATTCAAGCAGTTCTCCTGCCTCAGCCTCCTGACTAGCTGGGTAGCTGGGATTATAGGTGCCCGCCACCATGCCTGGCTAATTTTTGTATTCTTAGTAGAGATGGGGTTTCACCATGTTGGCCAGGCTGGTCTTGAACTTCTGAACTCAAGTGATCCTCCCGTCTTGGTCTCCCAAAGTACTGGGATTACAGGCGTGAGCCACCGTAGTTTAATTTGTTTTAATCTAAATCTCATAAAGCTTCTTCCTCTATTTAAATCACATTTGGTCTTTTGATACTTTTCTTTCTGTTTAGTAAGAGTTTTTTCTTCTTTCTCAGTATTTCATACGACTTTTAGAATTTCTTCTTTTAAGGTCTTTCTTTAAAATCTTGCTTAATATGTAGCTCTCGTTTCCACTTAAGAACTTATTTTACTTCTGTGAATTACCTAGAAAAAGTAGATTTAAACAAGAAAAATTGTCTTTTAAAAGTTAGAATGTTTTATTTGGACTCTGAAGGATCCACTCTGTATGGGGGGAAAAAAACCCATCTGAAGTATTATAGTTTAGGTATCTGAAAAAGTTTAGTTGATACTGTTACCATTTGAAATGTGGATTTTTCTTTAGCAATCCTTGAAATGAATCGTAAGATGTAAGATTTGCCATCCACATGGTTTTATTTATGAATTAAATTTTAATAATTATGCTTTTCCTGTCTTCAAAATTATATAGCAACCATTTATCAGAAAAGCAAGGAATGCTTAAAGGTTGGAGCCTGCTTAGTGTTCATTCTCAGTTTGAACTTAAAACTCGGCTTTACCCCTACCATGAAAGGATGATTAGAATTACTTACTTTCTGTAACAGTGTGGTTCATGGTCTATTTTCTGTGAAAAAAGATTGTGAGATTAAGAAAAAAACAACTTTACTTATAAAGACAGGAGAGGATCATTTCCCTAATTATGTAGTCTTTCAAAATCCAATTTAAGGACCACCTGCTCTAAACTGACTTTTTTTCTCACTGATTTTCAACATTGGAAGATATGAGCTTCTGGATTCTGGGGTTTCCAAAATTATTTTTATCATTTAAAAAAATATTAGCATATATAATTTTCACATTCCTATTCCTTGTTTTTGTTATGCATTCTCTTGGTGGTAAGGGACTGTAATAGGTTTTGTAAATAGTCAGCTGACCTGTCCAGTTTTTTTATGGTTTAGTTATAAAAATGAGTTTTTCATGACTTTCAGGATAGAACTAGAGGCCAAGATTTATTATATTTGTTGGTATACTTACTGTAAAATCTATATATTGCCTCTGGTTGAAATATTGAATTTGGTTTACATGAATTAAACCTCCAAGTAATATATTTTAAAACTTTATGGAAAAGAAATAAACTATGGTCTGGTGCAAAACAAGTAAGTATTATTACTTTAATACACTGTTATTTTTTCAGGCTCATGAGAGGCTAGAAGATTCCAAACTAGAAGCTGTCAGTGACAATAACTTGGAATTAGTCAATGAAATTCTTGAAGACATCACTCCTCTGATAAATGTGGATGAAAATGTGGCAGAACTGGTTGGTATACTCAAAGAGCCTCACTTCCAGGTGACTTTCCCTATCACTTAACTCTCAAATTCCCTGTATTCCCAAAGTATTCTCCTTTACTTTCCACTTTAAGGTGATGTTTTCTTCAAAGATTATTTAGGGCTATAATAGGTAAGTATGTAAATTCCAACCTTGGTATTTTAATGTCCTGATATGCTGAGGATATATAAACAGACGTATGTAACTACAGTGCTACATAAATGTACACTGTTGCAGAAATACATCACAATGGATTTTCCTTTGTGCCATTAAAGAAAACAACCTTAATTCACCATCAGACCACATGCTGGAGCCATTTTCCTCACTATGATAATGGATTTTTTTCTTCCTCGCTACCATTCTGTTTCTTAGTCAATACTTTTTAGTATTGCTTCTCAAGATTGTTGTGCAGTCAGTGACCATGGAACATAAGAGAGCTGTGACAGTATAGAAACCATTATATAACATAATCTCCTCAGGTACAGAAATAAGTATGATTTTAGCAATGGCATGTACCAGTGACGAGTTCATCAGTTTTACAAAGAAGAATGCATTTCAGAAGAGAAAAGGCAGGCAAGATTTCTTGTAACATATAATAATTAAGACAGTGTGGTATTGGGGAAGGTGTTAGAAAAATTAACTCATTGAAAAGAATGGAAATCCCCGATAAATACATCCCAGCCATATATGGTAACTTGATTTATGACTGGGACATTGCATTTTAGTGGAAAAAGAATGGTGCTGGGATAGAATAAAGTAAATGTCACCTGCTCTCTGCAAATCTTAGCACTGAAAATCAAATGGTAACAGCCTTTTGCTCTTTCTCAGCCAAAGATTTTATGTGACTCTTCAACAATGTTACTGCAAAATATGAAGGTTTATAGTGAGATGGTTCCGACATAAATTAGTATCTTAGGTACAAAAGAAATATGGACACATATCTCAGAGACATCTCCTGTGCAGGTCCCAGTTGACTGAGTCCTTATGAAGACAAACTGAATTATTTGGACTTTATCCTAAGGACAATGGGAAACTAGGTATGGGTTGGGTATTAACCAGGGAAAGGTCAGGTTTGTGAAATGAGATGGTTAAGTTTCAAGGCAAGAAATTATGATGGCAGTACATATAGATACTAAGAAATTTAAACACTTTCAAGCTTTAATCAGTAAAATCAACAGGATTTAGTGATTGGTTGCATATGACAGTTGTGGAAGAGAAATGGGAAGTTGATAACACTATGACTTAAACAATTGATCGCTGTTCAATGAGATAAGGAACACTAGAAGAGAATGTTTTGGACATATTTATGTTAAGGAAACTGGCCATCTTAGGTTTGTGGTACATTGGAAGGATCTAGGTTTTCAGGAATGCCGCATATTAGTAATAAATATTTATAACTTAATAAATATATAAGCACATACATTATATGAAGTGTAACATATAAAAATTTTAGAATATCAGCAAATAAAAATACAAAAATGAAGACATCGCCTTTCTTCTACCCAGATCAATACTCTACTGTCTTGGTGCATATTTGTCCATATTTTTCTATGCACAAATGTACATATGTAATTTTTTTACTAATTTGAGATCATTTTGCACAAACGTGTTTTACTCTTTAGTTATTTCTAATTTTCTATTTCAGTGAACTTCCATCTCATATAATACACATACCATATTTAGACTTCTCCATTTGATACCACAATATTATTTACAGGTGCCCATTCAGTATAATGTTGGCTGTGGGTTTATCATAGATGGCTCTTATTATTTTGAGGTATGTTCCTTTAATACTTAGTTAATTGATAATTTTTAACATAAAGGGTTGTTGAATTTTATTGAAAGCCTTTTCTGCTCTATTGAGGTAATTATGTAGTTTTTGTCTTTAGTTCTGTTTATGTGATGAGTCACATTTATTGATTTGCAAATGTTGAACAGACCTTGCATTCTGGGGATGAAGCCTACTTGACTCATGGTGGATTAGCTTTTTGATGTGCTGATTGATTTGGTTTGCAGGTATTTTGTTGAGGATTTTGGCATTAATGTTTGTCAAGGATATGGCCTAAAGTTTTCTTTTTTTGTTGTGTTTCTGCCAGGTTTTGATATAAAGATGAGGCTGGCCTCATAGAATTAGTTGGGGAGGAGTTCCTCCTCAGTTTTTTGGAATAACATTTCTGTAGGAATGGTACCAGCTCTTATTTGTACATCTGGTAGAATTCAGCTGTGAATCCATTAGGTCCCAGGCTTTTTTTGGTTGATAGACTATTTATTACTGATTCAATTTCAGAAGTTGTTATTGTTCTATTCAGGGAATCAGTTTATTCCAGGCTCAGTCTTTGGAGGTTGTATATGTCTAGGAATTTGTCTGTCTCTTCTAGGTTTTCTGGTTTGTGTGCATGGAAGTGTTCATAGTAGTTTCTCATGGTTGTTTTTATTTATATGGATTCACTAGTAACATTCCCTTCATCATTTCTAATTATGTTTATTTGGCTCTCCTCTCTTTATTAGTCTAGCTAGTGACTTGTCTATTAATTTTTTCAAAAAACCAACTCCTGGATTCGTTGATTTTTTTAAAAAAAAATTATTTATGTATTTATTTACTTTTTGAGATGGAGTCACTGTGTTACCTAGGCTGGAGCACAGTGGCACGATCTCGGTTCTCTGCAACCTCCACCTCCCAGGTTCAAACGATTCTCCTGCCTCAGCCTCCTGAGTAGCTGGGACTACAGGCACGTGCCACGATGCCCAGCTAATTTTTGTATTTTTAGTAGAAATGGTGTTTCACTGTGTTGGCCAGGCTGGTCTCAAACTCCTGACCTCAGGTGATCTACCTGCCTTGGCCTCCCAAAGTGCTGGGTTTACAGGCGTGAGCCATCATGCCCAGCCTCGTTGATCTTTTGAAAGGTTTTTTGTGTTTCAGTTTTCTTCAGCTCAGCTCTAATTTTTGTTATTTTTCATCTTCTTCTAGCTTTTGGGTTGTAAATCAGCACTTTCATCAGAGGTTGCAAAATGATGTTTTTCTATTCTACATTATTAGCTAGTATTCTTCCATAATGTTGAGCTTCTCATCAACTGGGCTGCTTAGTGCATTTCCTACTGAAGAGGCAGGAATGTACTTGAACCTTCCTTTTACTAAGTTTCAAAGTGAAGAGCTGTTTAAAATTGCAGTTTCAAGTGGTAACAAATGAATTTTTTCAGTCTTTTTTTTAAAATAGAATTGTGGATCTATGGATTTTTTATTCAATGTTGTAATGTTTTACAGTCCCTTTTTTTAATTTTCAAATTGCCATGACTTTGACGAGTTGTGGGCAAATTTTTACTATAAAAATCTGAAGCACATGAGAATTCTGAACTAGAGATAGAAATTTAAGAGTTGTCAGTGCGTAAGTAGTGGCTCAAGTCATGGGAGAAAATAATACTGCCTAAGGAGGATATAGGGTGGAAAACTAAGCAGCCCAGGTTAGCAATTTCCAGCATTTATAGGAAGAATCCTTATTTGTGAGTTGTCTTTATTGAATTTTTTTCTCCAGTGTTTTGGGAATTGTTTTATGAAATGACCAGAAATTACCAATTATCCTGATTGCTTTTATCCCGAACCTGTTAATATTTTTTGCTTTTATTCTGATTTATTGTTTTTGAACTTGGATTCTATCCAGCCCCTCAAGAATGTTTAAACTTAGTTTTATGTTGAATATGAACAGTTGCACAGTTGCAGTAAAAATTCCTCTTTTTTTTTTTTTTTTTTTTTTTTTTTGAGACAGAGTTTCACGCTTGTTGCCCAGGCTGGAGTACAATGGTACAATCTCAGCTCACTGCAACCTCCGCCTCCCAGGTTCAAGCAATTCTGCCTCAGCCTTCCGAGTAGCTGGGATTACAGGCACATGCTACCATGCCCAGCTAATTTTTTGTGTTTTTAGTAGAGACAGAGTTTCGCCATGTTGGCCAGGCTGGTCTTGAACTCCTGACCTCACATGATCCACCTGCCTCAGCCTCCCAAACTGCTGAGATTACAGGCATAAGCCACCATGCCTGGCCTAAAAAGTATTCTTTTAGGATAAGAAATGAAAAAAAAAAATTAACATTTTAGTATTAATTAAGAAATTCCTTGGGAGGCCAAGGTGGGTGGATCGCGAGGTCAGGAGATTGAAACCATCCTGGCTAATGCGGTGAAACCCCATCTCTGCTAAAAATACAAAAAATTAGTTGGGCATGGTAGCACACACCTGTAGTCGCAGCTACTTGGGAGACTGAGGCAGGAGAATCACTTGAACCTGGGAAGTGGGGATTGCAGTGAGCCGAGATCGTATCACTGCACTCCAGCCTAGGTGACAGAGTGAGACTCCGTCTCAAAAAAAAAAAAAAACAATTCCTAGAAAGCTGGATCAAAACTACCCATACTGATAGCACATGCATAGTAAATTTGGGAGTTAAAAAAATACATTATATTCAGGACTATTACTGACTTGTTTTTTCCTCAAAAAATATTCTTTTCATAAACTAAAACCTTTATTGGTAATATAAAATTTTCTGTCACTGATATAAGATGCTAATATTTATCCATTTTCTATTGAACATCTTTTAACAGACGTTTTGTACATATAAAAAGTATATCGTATTACTAACATAGCAATGTTAGGTAAAAATGTCATTTGAATTTGAATTTTTATGGTATTTTAGTAAATAGGATTGATGGTAAATATTGAATGATATGATGACAGTGGTGGCAATGAAATCCAGTACCTTCTTTGTACCAGACTAGAAACCTAGGTTCAGTTTACAGTGAACTTGCCAGTTTTTAAAAAGCATCACTAAATTCTGTCAATCTCTTCACATCTCAAAGAAGGAATATGATATTATTTGATGATAATAAAACTATATATTTTTATATCTCTTAAAAATTATATATTTATTTGGTCAACCTGATATTTGGGAATTTAATACTATGTACCTTGAGTAAGCCCTTGGAATAATGAACTAACAAAGTACTTTTAGTAACATATTTCATCAACGTATTGTAAATAACCACAGGCTATTTTGACTCCTCATAGTCACTGTTGGAGGCCCATGATATTGTGGCATCAAAGTGTTATGATTCACCTCCATCAAGTCCAGAAATGAATAATTCTTCTATCAATAATCAGTTATTACCAGTAGATGCCATTCGTATTCTTGGTATTCACAAAAGAGCTGGGGAACCTTTGGTGAGTATAGATAAATCAGTGCCCTATTATCTGAAATCTGAAATATGACATAATTTGTGGTTCAGTCACTACTCTATTGCATTTTTTTTCCTTTTCATAATGTTATGAAAGCTGTATTCTTATTTGGCCTGTGTATAAAGACACAGCTGATGCTCTCTCAATTTGGTGTAGTCTGCAAAATTAAACCAAAATGAAAAGTTAAACTGAGCTAGAAGTAGAAATATGGCAAAGGGTAGCAAAAAATTTCAGAAGATGACTACTATGTTTCTTCCTACCCTTTGAAGGCATGAACTGCCCTTTGAAGAAATACTGACAGTATCAAAATATAAAAGGAAGTTGTTATTAAAAATTGAAGCCATACTAGGACTCTCTAAGTAGTGAAGTTTACTATTCCTTGGTAAAATTATTGCTTCTGGATCTGACTATAAGAACAGTGAGTGCAAAAAAGGAAAAGCCAGGAATAAATCCATCAGAATGCACAAAATACCTTTTTTTGCTCTGAGTTTCCATTTAGCCTGTAAGATACATCCTATCCACTAGTGTAATAAACTATACTAGTACACAGTTTAATGGGAGTGAAATATTGAAACAGGAGAGAACATATGAAAAGTAAGAATGATTCATTTTACATAGTTTTACAATTATTTTCTTTCATATGTTCATGAATATTTAAGCATTTCTCCCTAATAAATGAGAAATCTCTTTCTTATTTCTCATAGGGTGTGACATTTAGGGTGGAAAATAATGATCTGGTAATCGCCCGAATCCTCCATGGGGGAATGATAGATCGACAAGGTCTGCTTCATGTGGGAGATATAATTAAAGAAGTCAATGGACATGAGGTTGGAAACAATCCAAAGGAATTACAAGAATTACTGAAAAATATTAGTGGAAGTGTCACCCTAAAAATTTTACCAAGTTATAGAGATACCATTACTCCTCAGCAGGTGAGTAATAAAATTTTTGGTAGTATTAAAAATACTTTCATGTTTTTAATCACAATGTTGGAAATACTATCAGTTGCTACTATTTTGCTAAAGAAAAGAGAAAAACAATCGATTTGAGTATTCTGAAATGCCTTATTTTGTCATGGGTGAATTTTTGAATGTTTAAACAATGCTATTTTACTATTATAAAGGAAGTAGTAAGATTTCTTTGTAAACACCAGAAACCCTGGCATAACAGTAACCTACAGCCAGGTATCAGAAGAACCATAAAGTCTTTGAATTATTAATCTAGCAAACATTTCTGACAGCTGTTACATTCAGGCATTGTGTTAGGCCCTGGGAGAGGTTAAAAATGCAGTCCAGATCACCTCCAGCTTAGTGTTTGTGTGATGGATGAAATGACTGATGAGGTCAGAAAAGAGAATGGGTATAAAGAAAATCTTGGACCCCTGGTTTGCACACATTTGATCTGTATTTTAAAACTAATTTTAGGTAAACTAGATAATTGAATGGGAAAATGTTTTAGTTATAGAGATTGTCTAGGCTCAGTATGTTAAGTGAATTCAAAAAGAAGAGACATGAGATTATGTAACCAGGTGGCATATATTTGAAGGTGTGAGGTGATTTGTGAACAACAGCTCTAATGAATGGTTAAAATGACCATTTAGGTTGAAATACCAGTGCTGCCAATTATCAGCTTACCTTCTCTGTGCTTCATTTTTCTCATCTATATAGTTAGGGAAAAATTTGTTTTCTCAGAAGTTCGTTATGAAGATTAAATGAGTTAATTCATGTAGTGCTGTCACAGCAACACCTGGCACATAGTGCTCAAGAAGTGGCTGCACTTCTGTGGTGATGAGGCAGTAGTGGCAAAATGGAACCGTAAAGAAAGAGTAAGAAAGTAATTGCAGAGGAAGAATTGAAAAGGATGATAGTGTTGGAACCAAAGAGAGGGTTTTCAAGCCTAAGTAATGTAGAAGTAGGTACCTCTAATGTTCAGGTTTATTCCAGAAGTGTATTGTTTGATATATGAATGAAATTATAAGTTTTCTTACATAAGATACTGCCAGTGTATCTTATTTCATATTGTTAAAATGAGAGCTTAAAAGTCTAGTTCTTACATTTCTGTACAGTTATTTGAAATAACATTTCATTGAATGTCTATTTTAAACTGTTCTTTCAAAGGTAAAGATAGATTATTTAGTCATGAATATTAGCATGTAAATTGAACTTCTGAAAATAGATAGGCTTGTAATTAACTTCGGTTGAAATGAAGGTAGTTTCGTGGTCCTCAAGGAAAAGAATTGTGAAAAATAAATGATATTAGTACTTAGACATTTCATATCAGTAGTACCTCTCAGGCTACCTTTATTCCTCAGTTGGCAAATTTTGATTGTGACACCTGAGGCCTTATCTTGGACTTGGGTAGGTTGGAAGAGTAAAATCTAGAATTTACGTATTTTATTTATTATTATGTGTTAGTTGTAGTAGGAAGATTTTATTTTCCTTCTGTAGTCCAAACTCCAGACTTCTTCTAGCTCACCATGGCTATAATAGACTTTTACAGGCAAAATAAAATTTTAGAGTATTAATAACTAGGGCTTTGGCCCACATTCCTACATAGATTTTGCATCCGGTAAACTAACTGAATACGATGAAATGCAAGGATATTTAGCCTTGGTTTAAAGATAAGTTTTCCCCGTTCCATACCCTCTCAAACTCTGCTTTTCACTTAGCATTTAGAGCTGGGGGAATAAATTCACGTAGGAGAGGAGTCGTCTTACAAGCCTGAGGCAACCTGAGGCCTGTCTTGCCATAAAGAAGAAGAGAAACTATATCATGAAGGCTTCCAAAAGAACATCCAAGTTGAGACTTTTTTTTTTTTTTTTTAATGAAAAAGGGAACATTACTCATATGCTGGAATCATAGACATAAACCAGGGCATCTGCAAACCGTGGGCATCCTATTAAGATGCTAGGGAAGCAAGGGCATTTTGCCTCTTCAGCTCTTTCACTAAAATCTCCACCATGTAGTGCTGTGGAGCTTGTCTCAGGTCTGGATTGCTGCAAGAGCAAATGAAAGCCAAGAACTCTTCTGTACCACGGTAATGTTTTTCAAAATCATAGTCAGTAGATTATCTTTATCAGAATCATTTCAGGTGCTTGGTAAAAGTCCAGAATCTGCTATGGGACATAAGTATCTATATTTAAATTTTGAGGACCAGAGTGAGTTAGAAGTAGCCAATTCTGAAGTTCTTCAACTTACATATAGCTTAGATTCCCAGAGGCTATTCATAATTCCATTTGTTTATTAAGGCCAACTGATAGGAATTCTCTCTTATTCTTTGGAACCAACATGACCTGGACAACTAGAAACAATATAACAAAATATATTACAGGACTATTTCACTCAAGGATATTCATTAAAAATTCTCAACAAAATATTAGCAAATCAGATTTGATTGTGTGTATAACAAAGATAATACAACATATCCAAGTTAGATTTATTATCCCAGGTATGCTAGGAGAGTTTCATATTAGAAAATCCATATGTAACTAAGCACATTAACAGATGAAAAGAGAATAACCTCAATGGAGAATTTGATAAAATTCAATGATTTTTAAAAATGATTAGTAAATTAGAAATAGAAAAGCCTTAATTTTATTACAAAAGAAAAAAAAAACTAGAACAAACGTTATTGTGAATTAACTAATGTTAGAAGCTTTCCCTTTAAAGTCAGAAACTGGCCTTTCAGCTGGTCTGCCTGAGACCTCTAGTGCCAACCCCAATACCGCACAAAGTTTTATTTCCACTCACGAAATTCCACTTCCATTTTCATTATAAAATGAAAAAGCCTTCACAAACCGAGAAAAACTTGCCAAATTTCAAGCACAATTGTGCATTGGTAAAAAGGAACTGCCCTCAGATGATACAGCAAACATTATCTATTGCAACAGATGATTAAAAAAATCTTTAGTTCTCCTGAAAGTAGGAATAAGCAATATCTCTGATATTAAAGAGGTATGTTTACAAACCAAGGAATGGTGATCTACACTAACAATCCCAATGTTCAGACATCTCTAGCAGCAAACACTTTGACCATTATACCAGCCATGCTGAGACAAAGCAGCTAACAGAAATGCCACCCAGTGTCTTAAACCAGCTTGGTGTCAACAAGCTTAACGAAACTGGCAGAAGCTGGATGGGAAAGTACCACTTACTTTTGGGGAAGTGGTGATCTTGTTCAGAATTTTGATGAAGCTTCCAACAATGAGGCAAACTGAATTGATTCAGCTTCTAAAAAATAATAAAATTTCAAGAATTTTAACTGCTTTTAAAATGTTTGTTTTATATATGATAAAATGTAAACCTATGATATTTTAAATTCCAAGGCCCTTGGACACTGGGACAATGCTGCTTTTTAATTATTGATTATACACAGTTATTTATTTGCAATTAGTGAACCAGAAAATAGTTTAAAACAAAGATAAAGGCTTTGCCTAGTTAAAAAAAAAAAAAAAAAGAAACTAGAGAAGGATGCTCACTAGCAGCACTTCTATTTAATATTTTCTTGAAGGATACATAAGTACAGTATGACAAAAATAAATTATAGAAGCAAAATGTTTGGAAAGGAGGCAATAAAACTTTTTATTTACAAATATGAGTTTTTGCATAGAAACCCCTCAAAACTACAACTTATTAGAAATAATAAGAGTTTACCAAGGTACCTGAAAATAAGATTAAGACACAAAACTCAATTGCATTTCTGTATGTCATCAGCAAACATCTAGAAATGTAACTATGACATCATTTATAGTAGAGTCAGAGAATGTCACATTTATGTCTAGGAATAAATCTAACCTAAAAAATTCAAGACCTCTACACAAAGGAATTATGAAGAGGATCTAAATAAGCAGGTATATCATGTCATGGACAGGAAGACAATATTGTGAAGATGTTGATTTTTCACGCATTGACTTGCAGATTTAATGGAATTCCAGTCAAAACAGGGTTTTCCATGGAATTTGGTAAGATGAATAGCCAAGACACTTTTGAACCAGAAAAGCGGGAATGGGGTCTGATTATTAATGTTTAGGAATTAAGGTACTGTGATGTTGGCATAGGAAGAGAGAGCATGATCAGTGGACTTTTAGGGAGCGCAGAAAGAGACCTACACATACATATTACTTTGATATGTGACAGAGATAATGTCTTTCAATGTGGAAAGGAGAGATGATTCAATGAATGGGGGGAAACTGGTTATTCTAGGGATACTGTTTGAAATTGTGTTTCATTCTGCATAGAAAAATCAAGTAAAAGGGGACATGTGTTCAGTAAACATGTAAAGATATATTAAAAATCATAATGTGATATACCATTAAGTTGGTAAAATTATAGCTGTGAATCAACAGCATCTTTTCTACATTGTTGGTGGCAGTGTGTATTGTTATAAACACATTAGGAAGAAAAGTTTAATAATGTCTCTTAGAGTTCCATATTCACATATATCCAGCTGCAGTAATTCCCTAGAGCAATTCTTATGTATGTACAGCTGGAAACATGTTAATAAGCATGTAAACCCCAGAAGATTACATGCATATAGCATGATACTTTAAGTTTAAAGTAACTATATAATTTTAAAGAGTACATATAGATGCAATAGAACTATATACAAAATGAAAAGCAAGGAGTTTGTGAATCCAAGATTCAGGGTGAAGTGTGCCTTGGTTGGGGAAACCAGAATGATGGGATGGGATGGAATGAGAGCAGGAGAATCAAGTAGGATTTTAATGTTAGTTTTAGGTGGCAAGTGCATAGCTATTATATTATTAAAACTAATTAAATCAACAAAAGCAGTCCTTGCATAAACCAGTGATATAAACATAAGAATTATGATTAGTATAATTTTGGCCTAGGTTAGTAGTTAGTAGATTTTTTTTTTTTTT